AACTGTAATTCCTATAACTAATGGAGCAATAACCATACTTTTAGGGGATGAAAAAGCTGAGGGGCCATCTGAAATACCTATAGTCGTGCTCGATTCTGGATCTGTAGAATACACATTTATATGTTCTGAATTTTCATATTTTAAATGTGCTCCGCCTGCTTCTTTATGTGTGTTTCTTAATTCAACTTCCATATTATGACCTTCCTGTGACCCTGTTCTAAGTAATTTTTCCTGTTCCTCAGTCTGCTGCTGTGGCTCTAGCTCTTTATCTAATTCTTCCTCTACCTCTGGTTTCGATTGAATCTGAGCACCTATTCTTTGTACTCCTCCAGAAGCACTTGGTTTTTCCACATCTCCATGATATACTTGTGGTGTTGATAAAGTATCTCCATTTTCTTCTGAATTGCATGTCCATTTAAGGACATCCATTTTTTCTTTACCACTAAAATATTGATTAAAAAATCTACAAGTATCATCATGATTACCTGATTGTTCATTACAGTTGTTATGACACCGCCTATATATCATGACATACCCATCAAGATTTATCTTAAACTTATCATTGCAAGAATTAATAGGTGAATTGAAATATTTTTTAAGCTCATTATAATCCTTTGAAAGATCAAATAAATTCTTAATATCCATAAAATTTTGTTGAGTCATATTATATTTATTAAAATCACATATTCTTTGTGTCCCATCATTGTTTAAAATAAATTTAAGTGAATCCATAACAGAGTATAAGAACCTTCTATCTGTTAAATTTTTATCTAATACATCACCTAACCAGAAGTACAGGTAATAACAGGAATCTCTATCAATGTTCCTTGGTGCACTTGTTTTATATACATAACATAACCCTTTAAGTATTTTGTTAGAAGAATTATTATGCAACTGTACACTTTCTAAACGTTGCTTTACCAACTCGTAATAATAAAAATTATCACAACCAATATCACCCTTATCGAAATTAGCGTACATCAACCTTGAAGGTAATTTATTAAGTTTTTGATTCTATGAATATAAATCAAAAGACAATATATAAATTTTATTTGTATAAAAAATAAAATAATTAATTTAAGAAAAAATATATTACATTGAGATAAATAATAATTTATGTTACATAAAAAACTTACTCCTAGATAATTTTTCATAGTTAAAGAGTGTCATAATCTAATATACAAATAAAACAAACATATATTTAATTATGTATTTACTAATATATTGAAAAATTACTAATAAAATTCTTAACAATATATATATCGCTATTTAGAATTATGGATACGTGTCTATAATTATTCTATTTTCACAAATTTTTATTATGTGTAATTTCTTTAACATTATGTTCTATGAAATATGAATATATATTTTTATATATACAACAGAATATATAAATATATGTATTTTAATCATTCCATGTTATTTGCAATATGAGTATAAAATTAATTATTTAGAATTCTTATAATATATAATATAGTTTATATAACAGTTATAATATATATTCTCTATGAATAATTTTTATAAAGCTAAGTGTTATAGACCCTATTGATTCCATTAAATATTTTTCATTTTTTTATTTTATGGAAAATATGATTATTTTAATTTTTTTTATACAATTTCCATTATTAACGATATATTTGTATACATCAGTAAGTCAGTTATTGCTATTTTTCTTCACAATACAAATTTGAGTGAATTCTTTAGAAAATTTCTCTTTTTGAATTAAGTTCTCCATTTCCATATTTTATTTAATGAGTGCTATTTTTGTATTATTAATGTTAAAAATAATATTTCTAATGCACTATAATAAATATATTGTAAATAATTTTTATTTATATAGCACTGTCATGCTTTGATTATTGAATAAAAATATATAAAATCATTTTTATTACATGTTATTTTCTTTGGGTATTATAAAATCCCATAAAACATTTACATATTTTTATTTTCATAATTATAAAAAATATATATTTATAATTATATATTTACAAAAATAAAATTTTAAGTATATATATAGCTATTACTTCGTAACAAGTATAATTTGGATATTCTACAAATACCTTCATATTTATGAAATGTTAATTGTATTGAATAAAATATTGTTTTTAAATGTCATTTATAATTATACTGTAATTAAATATATATAAACAGATTTTAATTAATACCAACATTTTCATATGAACTATTAAATATATTTCCGTAAGTTTTTATTAAATGGTATCAAAGCTATAATATAGTGAGGACATATATATACAAGACCAATATCAGCTTAATTAGTTACAATAAATTTTAACCTATATAACTAATTCATACTGTATATAAAACAATGCGTACTTTTTGTGATTTGCATCCTTAAATTTCTTGAAACTTTTAAAAAAATTATTATAATTTTTTTCCTGTATTATTAATGGTTATATATTTTCAATAATTAGTTCTTTTTAAATGTATATAATAAATCATTATAATATATTATAAATATAGAACAACAAATAATTTTATATA